AATATGTATAATGACCCTAATCAGGTGACTAGTACAGTTGTTATTCAATTTATCATTCTGTCTTGACCTGTCGTGTCTGTTCAGTTTATACGACAGACGTGATAAGCTGTTTTTTAAGAGTAGTAATTCACACGACATGGAAAAGTACTAAAACACGTTTTGTCTACTTCATTAGTGTTTTCATAAATTCCTTACATACTACAATCATGTTGAATGAGTGCTATTACTAGCGTTGATCAATTTTGTTTTATTGAAAATAGTAGAGTATGTAACTGTCATTACAAATAGAAACATGGAGTTACATGACGTAAACAGACTAAAACGGACTGTTAGGTTAAGTTTCCCACCTTTTGAACAATATATTGTAGCGTATCGATACGATATGATTAAGTTTGTAACGAGCTAGAAAAATTATGACCGATCGGTATTTCGTATAATTATACTTGAGATTATAAATCTTTTGTGGTTAAGTTAATGAATTAAAAATTAAGACACCAATGATGTATACCTGACTAGTCACGTACATTTATCATTTATTCAATTACGTATTGGCCCATCGCATCATTATATACTGTGATCGTTCATTCGTAGATTAAGTTATGTATTCTTTGACTGTGAATTGTTAGGTTAACAGAAAACGATTGGCGGAAATTATTGGACCAAAAGTTCGTGCTTAATATTACTCTTCAAAGTGATAGATCTGTAACTTTGAAAGTACCAATGTTCCTCTTGGAATTCAAATTGGGAAGCAGTATCTGATTATCTCTTCTGTGAAACGTAATGCCACAAGGTTTATTTCAGGGTTTAAGGTTAGGAATTAGGGATAGTATCGATTTGTCTATCATACACAATCTTAAGGAATAGCATTAGTTATTCGATGAGTTTTACACCATTTATTCTGTGGTTTTAAAAATAATCGTTTTTTATCATGTTAAACAGTATACAAATGTATTTTTGTTATAACTTGTGAACCTGTGTACCCTGTTTATTGTATAACGCAAAGATACCGCCAATCAGAGAGCAGCGAATTATCGATCGAACCAGTGACGCATAAGACCCATACGAGCAACCTAGAGTTTTGATTGGTCCCGCTTTCCACCTAGCCCAGCCAGTTGAGTCCAGGACACCAACCTCAGCCTCTACGATATGGATCATTTATTTCAAGCATACTGGGTTCATATCTCAACCAGACAGACCACAACGTACCATAAAATATGAGACAACATTTGTACAAGAATTAGCCTAATGTGGCCGTGAATGAGGGAGATAATAATTAATAGACAGGCCATAACTCATGAATGGTAATAGTCTATGGGTCAAATTAAAGCTTATAATAAGAGAAATATGAATATGCATAGTTTAGTTACTTAATAATTATACAATAGAAATATACGTTTAGTATTGGTCCATCAAAATATCCAAAAAGTTACCATTCATTATTCTTGTCGGGACATAACAATTTTCACTGCTCATTATACATGAAATTTGAATTTAGAATAAAAACTTGAAATTTATTCGCACGACTCTGATTGGTTCATCCTTGAAATGTATTTTCACCTCAGCAACTGCATAATAATCAATTTTTGCCCATTTTTAAGTAAACTCGAAATTTGACGACTTTTCGAAAATTATTGGACTACTTGATGAATAAATTTGTAAAATACATATTAAGCAACCTTTACGAATGGTTTTACAATTCATTTACAGTAGTTAAAATAACGAGTAGTTGTTAACAATTAATAAATAAAGACTATTCATCTAAACATTGATCCCTGAATGTGTAGATTAAAATCTTCTGCTTTGGGCCAAATAAATCTACATCTATAAATTAACTTGCTTACATAGAGGTGGTTATATCAGTCACATACAGCAAATTCTTTCGATATGTATTATTGAGAATTATCGTAATAGCCCATCAAGATATAGTATTCACGTTAGTTGATATCTCGACTCGTGAAAATCTCATACATTCCAGTTAACTTACACTATCAGAACCTTCGTTCAAAGTCACCCCTAAAGTAAAATAAAGTGAGTCAAGGAGAAGTACCAGTTGAAAGTGTATACAAAACAGTAACTTCAGCAACCCACCGATTTACACCTAAATTTTATGTTAAATGTGATCTCTCTCTCTACATTGATTATAACTCCGTTCGTACTTTTCATATATAGTAATCATTTATTACTCCTAATTTTTTGTGGTAATAATGTTGATTACGCTCCAATCAATCAAAGGATGGATAAACTTCAACGCAATCCTCTTTATATTACTGTATAGCTGTGATATATGGTTCACGAAAGTAAAAGACAAGTAATTTACAGGCTTGTGTTCAGAGTTGCCTTCAAAGTACTGTTCAGACGTGTTGGAACCCAGGGTAAAACACAGGATACTTGGAAAAATAGACAAGAGCATAGACGTGACTATAAACTTTCATTGAATGAGGTGGTTAGGTCATTCATTAAGGGCGTCTGACTACCTACCCGAATGTTCGACGTAGGATGAAAGGAGCAAGTTGACGAAAAGCTAGGGGTGGCCAGGTCAAGGTATAGAACCAGCTTGTACAGTCCCTGACTGTTAGTTTGCGTCATATCAATATTTTCATATTTCGTAGTTGGGTTCCAAAAAATGTTCGGGATTAATGGTCTCGGATTTTGAGAGATATAGTGCGAATTCGGCAACAATGGCTCAGTTGCTTTCTTTCTATAACTTCTATCTATTATTCCTATGTTTGTATCACATGTTTAGATTTCCTCCAATTGCAGATGTTAATTTCCATTCTATATTTCTCATCTTTTTGATTATTTCACTCTGTACTGGCATAACCTATCAACCGATGTACACTTTTTCCAAGTCCTAGTTTAATATTTATTTTATTTATTTATTTTAACACATAGATATTGGTACAAGGAGGCACTAAATACATATGCGCCACACAAATCTCATTCGATATGTGTGAGGGATGTGATACTGCCCGGGTGTCCAAACCGAAGCAGGTGGTTTTCTTAGAGGGCCACACCCCGAGCCTTTGACCTAAAGGTCTGACCCACAAGGCATTGGAGCTTCGTGAGGAGATGCAGTCCCATGGTAGCCGGTAACCAACGATTGGTTCGTACGCCATTTGTTCCCTCAAGATACTGGAGCCCATGTGCACCATTAGTTTGGAATCCGGTTGAAGCGCCGGACATTCGCTTTTCGTCCTCTCAATTTCGTAAACAACACCCCAGCCACGAGAAGGCAGTGAGTAGGACTTCCATAGCAGAGGCTATATACTCGTGGCTGTGTGAGAGCATTTCGAGATGAAAGGAGGGCCCACCCCACTCTCAGCCATCCTAGGGCAATTGGGGGCAGGTTAATAACAACTAATTGAGAATATTTAATCAAATAAATATCTAGAAATCAGTGATAAACTAGATAAATACTAGATAACTTAATGTTCAATACTGATAATGAATTATCATTCTAAATCATTTGGTAAGTAAGTAAATATTCAAAGAATGGAAATTACCTGCAAATAATTTAGTAAACTCTATTTCACTGTATTACATTACAATCTATGCAGCAAAATTAACAAGGAATCACGATCAAATATATACACATATATTTAAACTGAAGTCTTATCTTAAAGATTTGGCATTTGTCCAAATATGTGGTATACTACATCTGGTGTTGCTAATATTAGCTTAATAATGAAATATATTATATCTGTTTTCAAAGTTAACAGAGAAAATGCAGTTTACATGTCTATGTATTAAAAAAAGAAGAAAGTCAACATCTGTTTTTTAATTCATTCATCCTTTGTAAACACCAACGCTTGTATTTGATAAGGATTGAATGTTAATAGATTTTTTATAATGTAAATGAATAATTATTTAGATGATGGAGATCGTTTGTAGATCAAGAGGATCATGCTAGAGAGACTGAGTTCTCTAAGCTAAATGAATTAGTCTCACAGCTTTTATTGTTAGTTCTGAGTAAATAAATGCACTGTGTATGAAGAAACATCTCACCTCTTTGATTAATGAAGCTTATATACTGTAAGTAGCTACTTTTTTTTCTCCACATGACCTATCTTCTACTAAAATACTTGTGGATGGTTGTACTTTACGAACGCCAGCTTACTCAATTCTAGTTTGTTCCAAAGAAGAAAATGAAATTTGAACAAATTTAAATGGTAGTCCATTCATCCATCCTAATGTTCAAGTTCTATCAGTAGTCATAAATACAAAGAGAAACGGTGACCATTGATAGATTCAGATAAAGTCTAATGAACTATATTGAATTTCCTTCACTGTAGTGTAGATTGTATCTTATTATCTTTTTTTCAAGCTTTTTATGTTTGTTTAATATGGAGAAATATCTTTCACTAACTGGTCACTAACTATTAAGAGCCTTTGTGATGTAAATATATTGGCGTTCATTTTTATTATCTCTCCTACATCTTGAACAAGATTAAACTATACAACCAAATACCTGGAAGATTTTCATTACGGTTAGAATTGATTATTTTTATTTGACATTGTGATTTTATCAGGTATAAAGCATGCACTTCACTCTCTACATTCATTCTTTCTGTACTTTGACGAAATGTTATATAGTTACTTTATAACTCCTGTTGTCAAAGCTGAATATTAAGAGTAAGGTTGACCCTATCGAAAACATATGTTTGTAGCAGAAAACATGTGAGGAACTGGATCATAATTTTGAAGAGTGTTAGCATGTCAACGGTAATTAATGTAATGAATATATATTTTAATATTTTACGATATTTTCAAATATCACTCATATTCATTTTTATAAAGCTCCTCAACAGTGATCTCCTAAGTATTCACCGGGTGTCTGAACCGATTAGTTGTGGTTTAGCAGCTTGGTAACCACTTTCAACTAAATTGTTAACCTAATTTAAGGTCTCCAAAGTTTGGATATACCACTGTACTGTTTTCTTTGATTATGATTACGTCTTAACAGATGGCATCAAAATGAGTTAGGTTTAAAATAAATTACATTCAGTAGCATTGATAATTATTTGATACTTAACAAAGTATTAGTAGTATGTACAAAACGTCATTTCATTATTAAGAAAACGTTTTAAATTTCATCATAACAGACTGGTTTAGATCTCATGAAAAACATTTTTTTATTTTTACATCTTAATGTTTAATATGCAGGAAAATAATGAATAGCCATGGAACAACTATAACATACTACTATAAATCATTCGTTTTGTCCTTCATTGTTCTGAAAAAAGAAATGTGTATAAGAAATAAAATCTTTTAAGTATTGAATATAATACTATTAACAAAGACCACACTTAAAGCTAATAAAACTATTATAGATATATTTCAAGAGCATCTGTCTTGTCCCAGTCGAATGGTGGAAGTATATATATATATATATATATATATATATATATATATATATATATATATATATATATATATATATATATATATATATTAGATCATATAAACCATAAAAGGAGATTGTGTTTCATCTGCTTCCTTTAAATTATCAGTACTACGATTAATTGATGCCAGACTGAAATCTGATCATTTTATGAGATCTTAGAATGTAAGACTTTGATGAAATGACATTATATTTTTTTACTATTGTTTTTTAAGATTGGTGCTTTTAAAGAGTAACTATAAGTGAAGATATCGTCTACAAACAGTTGCTATGGTTCTCAGTAAATGTATGTTATATTTTAACAAAATATACTCAAACTACAGTTTAGTGCATTTTACGTGTTATAAAGTCAATATAACTATGCTATGAAAATAAATGTAACTAAAAACATATACAATTAAAAAGGAACGCCACTCCAATGCCTGGAAATATAGTTTTTTTAAAAAACGTTACGAATCATATTCGAATATTAGATTTCAAGTATGTTGGAGGTATTTAGAAAAAAGCTATACATTTAAGTTTCATGCTACTTGGAACTTGTTAGCAAGATATATCAACGTTCTTAGAGGAACCGATATTCCCTGAGGAGTTTCAAAGTATTTCACAACCAAGTAATAGGTTCTCATGCATTGATCTAATACTGTATACCATTAGATTGTTGCTTTAACCGGTGATAGAGTTTTATTTCTTGTTAATGATATACTTAATGACTTAATTTATTGAAATAACACTTCATTGTTTTTTACATTTTTACTATTTTATCCATTAGGTTGAATGGGCATTGTGTTACAAATTAGCTTATAGAAATTAGTTCAATAGTTTACACCTTTGTAAGCTATTCTAATTATTTCAATCCAACAAAAAATATTATAAATTAAGCAAAGAAATCTCTTCAAGACCTGACATATTTTGAGTACTTATAGAAGAAATGTGTCTTCAAATAATCACTGAGTAATGATAAACAGGTTTGATATGAGATGGTGGAGTAGATTTGTAGCTCAAGTGGATGATTTTGATGGAGTTTTATTCACTGAACTGGAGAAGTTTTGATATGATCAGAGGAGATAGGAAAATATCACTGAAACTAATTTATGCAGGAAAAATGTGTTTGTAAATTTATAGAAACCTGAGTAATGCTTATTTACAAGTTCTCAACCTATAATCATACTGAAAGGGCTAACTTAATAATGGTCATATGAGCTGCTATCGACATTACCCATACAAAAAGTGTAAAAAGATGATTTGCGTTTTACATTACATGACGTTCCATTGGTCACAATGGGTTGATGTCGGAAAGGACTAAAGATTTTGAATTTTATCGATCGTAAAATTCAATTAGCGATATTTTCATTAAATATTTACGAACACAGTTAAAGCACAACTAAATTAATTTACATGTAGCCTATCTTTATTTATTTATGAGCCATCAACAGAATTATGGGGTTTTTTAAAAGTTTCTGTGAATGACTAGACCGTTCTATTAGGAAAGCTTAAAGTTTCTACGTACTATCCCCCAAAAAGCCATATTTGTCAGGAAATAAACTTCTGTCCGGTAGCTGCTGGCTTCACTGGGTGTCGATTTGTAATTAATTTGTCATCAAAAGTGTCTATCGATCATACCAAATTCATTTATGAAATCGTATGATGGAATATGTTTGAAGTCAGCCTTCTTTTAGTAATGTTTCTGACTTTAGGAAATAAGCAGTAATAAAGGTGGAAGTTTCACGTAGACAACACTTCTCTGACTCCACGCCTCGTTTCATTTCATAGAATAATTTACCGCTCACACTTCAGATTTAATACTTTTGATCACTCTTCTCTGCTACAGTTAGTTTAAGTACTTGCATTTCATCATACGATAACTCCTCACTTAAAACACAATGGTGATTTTAAAATACTTAAACTTATTCATTCCCAGGATTAAAGCTAGATTTGTACAACACCGGATTCCAACTCAGTAGTCTAAAGGTTTGTAGTTCGTATATAAGATCAAGTGCCTCGGTTTCAATCCCTGATGGAGTCACGAACGGGAACTCGCAAGGAGTCCCTTGCTGTTCATTACTTACAGATTTTTCTTGGTTCTCTAACTTAGATCAGTTTATGACATCGAAAAATCATTTAATGTTGATCAATTTAGCAAGGTAACTTATTGGTATCAAGTAGACAGATTTAGTATTTTTGGCATTTAAATTTGGTCGTTTATATTTTTCCACAAATCAACAAATAACCAGTGATGCAGTTTGAGGGATATACTAAAATCTAATTAGGAAATGCGTTTTCTTCAATTTTAAGTGAACATGTAGCTAAAGTATGTCTTAAACTAATAAGTGTTAGCACAACTTAAAATTAGGTAGTAGCGATTAATTAAGTGATATATTAGTAGACAATGTCGTGAAATCTGCAAAGAAGGTTTGTTATCATAAAATTAAAAAGTTTATCTACTGTAACGAAAGCTACCTTTAACATTTTACATTAGCTACGTAACTATTAATTTCATTAACTATTAAGTAATACTGCGGTGCGTACTACTTATATTGATGTAAGTAGTATATAACGCCAGTTAAAAACGTAATGTCTGGCACCAGAAGATGGGGGAAGATCAAGAAAGAAAGAGCGAGAACACAATGGAATTTGTAAGAAAAGGCATGGACAATTGAATGGGAGACAATGGATTGATGTTTGCAACAGGAATAGTCCAGTTTGATATGAGGAATTGATATTTTGCGAATTGACGATTTACTATATGGTTTTCAGATTTTATTGAAATAGTCAGTAATTTTCATTTTGGGTACATTCGATTGTCCCCACCTGTATTTTGTTCACTACAAAACATCTTTTATGGGCCATGGAATGACAATAAATTTGGATTTCAGTAAAACACTGCGGGAGCTGACGATAGTTTATAATTGATGTATTGTGATCCTAATTGTAGTAAATGTTTAAAAGAAGATTGGAACTTCGTTTTTTTTTACCAGAATATTAAGTGAAAACAGTTCATTCATAACGGATAAACTAGTTGATCACCTAGAACTAATTTATATACTAGTGTACTAATGTTTAACTGTTCTACACATAATAACCTGATTATCAGTAGTAGTTGTGCAATAAAATAAATACATATCACGCCATTTAAACTAGTTGTAATTTGAACAAGAAAAACTCAGTTAAAATATATTACGTCATTATAATATCGTTACAATTATTTTATTTCTAGTTTAATTGATAATAACAAGTAAATTGACTTTCTCTGTGTATTTGTAATCTAAGTAATACTGTGGTGAACGGGAACACCAGTGTGGAACAACTATATGTATAAGAATACAAAATTACAGAATCTCTTATTAAAATCTGAGATTTATACAGTAAATAATTCATTTGCAAAATGTTAATTAATTTTCTCAGAATTGATTGTTCCTTCATTCCCATACCAATCACTTCTTGTTCTCGTTCTCTTCTCTTCGATCTTCTTAACTTTCTGCTACCAGATATTTGACTTTCGATTGGTGATACATACTACTTAAATATGTTGACATCAGTAGAACACATCACAATATTTTTCAGCTATTGTTTGAAGTAAACGATATTATCAGTATAGGGGTTGTGGAGATTATTGAATTTTTTCATTGAGATCATCAACCGATTGATCTTAGACCACCATTGTAAACCTGAAAGCACTGGACGGCCGTTTCGTCATATTGTGGGACTCCTCAGCAGTGCGCAACCACGATCCAACGGTGGTCCAACATCAATCTGTTCATGATCTCAATCAATAAACAATATTACTTCACTTTTTAAACTTGTTATTTTTAAAATGAGAAATAAATGATGAATTGAATTCAATGCCTTAATTCAATGTGACTTTGATCTAGATACACTTAACAATGATTGTATACATGTTATTAAACAAAATCACTGATTAGTTACAATTTTCATAACATATTGTAAGACTGAAGTTAGAACAAGTTATATGAGTGAACACTATTGCTTCCCATTTAAAATCATCATCGGACTTTAATTTACATTAAATATTCATATACATTTATGAATATATGAAACCACTCATGGCAGTTTATCAGACACTGATAACAACAAAATAGGTTAAATAAATAAATAGTAAATAGTATGCTTGAAAAAACTATACGACAAACAAAGGAACAAATAATATAGAAAATAATATGTCAAATTATTTGTTAAGCCTAAATTGGCCAAGGATTAATAAAGGTTGTTATAAATCTTTTTTTGTGGATGCGAGGACTTTTGTTCTAAGCTCGAATCCTTCTAGCTTGCGCTACATTTAAGAGAAGGCAAGTGTTAGGTGTGTGATAATAATAATAATATTTTCTAATTATTTAAATTTAGAACTCATTATAATTAACAAAAGTGATATCCAATAGATTACGAACATTTTAAAGTATTTAACGTGGTACTAACAAATTCAATACCAATATTAAATAGGTAAACTTAGTCAAATCTACGTTGGTTTGTACTGTGTATGACTCTGATGTTTATTAATTAACTTCCTATTCCCGAACGCGATCAGCTACTTAAGTGATAAAACTGAGAGTAAAAAGAAAGAATTTTACTGATCAACAGAATTGAAAAATAACCGTTCACTTATTCTGATTTATGTGTGCAAATCCCTTAGAGATTTAAGCCGTGATGTTATACTATCAGGATGTGTTTCATTCTTTAGAAATGGAAATAATCTCTTGATCAGTATCATAGGTTTGTTGTTTGGTCACTGTGTGAATGACCGACTGTGCCAACCATTAGAACATTAAGTTATTTCACCCATGATTTTTTATTCAAATTCAAGAATATAATAGCTTGAT